TGTCCCACACACACTGACTCTCACTGGGGTATGGTGTCCCACACACATGGACTCTCACTGGAGCACAGGTCCCACACATACACTGAATGTCACTGGGGTATGGGTCCCACAAACACACTGATTCTCACTGGGGTACCGATTCCACTCGCACACTGATTCTCGCTGGGATATGCGTTCCACACACATTGACTTTTTTTGATTCACTCAGGGTATGCAGTTATCACTTGCTGGGCAAGCCTTTAAGAAGATGGTGGTGAGCTACCTTCCTGAAACTGCTACAGTCCACATTTGACAGACACTGACTGCCACTAGGATACAGACTCTATGGACAGTGACTCTTAATTGCACTTTTATTCCACCATATACAACCCATTCCTGTCTCCCCTTGGCTTGACTGATGAATTCCTTTGGTAATGTAACCCAGCTTGGCTCCACTTCACCCACTATCATGTGTGTGTGCGTGCGCGCACACACTCGCTCACCAGACCTCTTTAGTGATTCTGGTAAAGAAGGCTCAGGGAATATTGACATTTATCGCAAAGGGGTTGGAATACAAAGGGATGGAGGTTGTACTACAGTTGTTGCAGAGCTGTGGTTAAACCCCATCTGCAATACTGTTGGATGCCATATCAGAAACAGTGCAGATTCCATGGAATATACTTAAAACAAAAAGAGTGAAAATTATACTGAAAGGTTGCAAAAGCTAGTTTTGAGTAAAAGGAATTAAGATGTGACCATACTGAAGTGTCTAAGGGTTTTGATAGGGTAGGGGTCAATTGAAATGTTCAAAACTGAGGTTGAGAGCCCTTTTAACCTTCATTGAACAAAATCCTGTGGCACAAAGGTGGGGAAATGGAGTTGTTACAGATCAATTAACTGTCGGAGGAGGCTCAAGAGTGGGAGTGGGGTCTTCCAGGCACTTATTCATTTTGCCTCTTTAACCACTTTTTATTTCTCCATGCTTTGTGCAGAAACCTCGCTATGAAATTCGCTGGAAGGTCATTGAATCCATAAGTTCAGATGGACACGAGTACATTTACGTTGACCCGATGCAGCTTCCGTACGACTCAAGCTGGGAGTTCCCCAGGAGCCAGCTGTCTTTGGGTATGAAACCACGGTGATCCATCCAAGAAAATAAATATCACTTGTATTTGTATAATGCCTTCAACATAGTAAGTCATCTTGTAATGCAGGGAGCAGAATCTGAAGGTTGAGCATAGATGTTAGAGGAGGTTAAAAGAGGAAAAGGGATTTGATAGAATGAGAAGGTTTTGATAAAGTGAGTGCAGAAAGAATGTTTCATTTTGTAGGGAAGAGCCTAACTAGAGACCATCAATAAACGATAGACCCAAAAAACTCAACAAGGAATTTGTGGAGGCACAGTGATAATGTCACTGGGCTAGTAATCCAGAGACTCAGGCTAATGATCTACGACATGGGTTCAAAACTCACCAAGGCAACTGGAGTATTGAAATTCAATCAATGAATCAATAATAATGCAGAAGCACAAAGCTAGCCTCAGGGTTGGTGACCATGAAACACAGATTGATTGTCATGAAAACCTATCTGGTTCACTGATGTCCTTTAGGGGAAGGAAATCTACCATCCTTACCTGGTCTGGCCTACATGTGCCTCCAGACCCACAGCAATGTGATTGATTCTTAGCTGCCCTCTGAGCCACTCAGTTCAAAGGCAGTTTGTGACGGGTCTCAAATGGTGGCCCAGCCAGCGATGTGCGTGCCCCGTGAAAGAATTCTGTTTTAAACTCAGAAGAAACGTCTTTCCCCAGAGAGTGATGAGATTGCAGCTGTTCAAGAAGGCTGCTCACCACCACCTTCTCCAGGGCAACTAAGTACAGGCAATAAATGCTGACCAGCAGCAATATCCAGGTCCCTCAAATGATTAAAAATAAGCATGCAGCTTGTTGCCAACAAAGAGTGGTTGAACCTTATACTGTGGATGTATTTAAGGGAAATTTAGTGAGCATATGAGGAGAAGGAAGTTGATGGTGGTTTTAGAGGAGAAAAGATGGAAGAAGACTCAAGTGGAACCTAAAAATCAACATGAACTGACAAGGCTATATGGCCTAATAAAAACCAAAAGAACTGCGGATGCTGTAAATCAGGAACAAAAACAAAGTTGCTGGAAAAGCTCAGCAGGTCTGGCAGCGTCTGTGAAGGAGAAAACAGAGTTAACGTTTCGGGTCCAGTGACCCTTCCTCAGAACTGAGACTAAATGGTCTGTTCCTTTTCGGTACATTCTATACAGGTTTGGGGAGTGAGGTAATTCCAGAACTTGGTCTGCTGAGTTGATAGTGCAATGATTAAATTGAGGAATGCACAAGAGGCCTGAATTGGAGGAGCACACAGATGGTAGGATTGCAGGTTGCACAGGGAGTTGTAATTCTGGAGGAAACTATAGAGATAGGGAAAGAGTGGGAGGTTGGAGGGATGAGAATTTTAAATGGAGGACTCAGGCTTACTTTGGCGGGGTGTGGGGGCGGTGGTGTGGGGGGTGATGGTGAGCAGTGTAGGTCAGTGAGCTGATTCTTGACGCTTGTAGACCAGGTTGAGTTTCGTATGTGATAATGTTTATGGAAGATGGAAATTGAAAGCTGGAAGGAAGAGAAGAGTCAAGACAAAAGCGATAGAGCAGCAGGGATGTGGATGAAATTTCAGTGCCAAGCAGTTTGACAATACAGAAGGTATGTGAGAGGTAGCCATGGGATTAGAGCTGCAAGGCTACATCCGTCTCTCATTTTCTCCCTCCTCTATTTATTGACGTGCAGAGCCGCACTTGGAGTGAGGATAGATCAGACTTTGGATTCCACTTCCCCACGTTCTCTTCAGGTTGTCTGCAAATATCCACATCAAGATGTGCTCCCAGTTTTTACAGCTGCAACCAGTACATGAGCAGTTGCATTTAGATGTTGCCTGTGCCATGTCTGTCCTTGCCCAGCTGTGTCTGCAGATCATGTGACTGTATCCAGATGTTTACCATGGAGTTTGTCCCCACATCCAGATGTTGCTCTCTGGTGAACCTAGTTGCATCCAGATGTTGTCTCTGCCTATATGGTTACATTCCAGAGTTTTTTGTGGTTTGCAAGCTGGATTCAGTTAGTAGAGAGTAACTTGTTTATATTTTCAGTCTCCACCCTCCAACCTCAATAGGACTTAATAATTAACATAATGCCTGGGAACACCATTTAATGCCCCACATCTGGAGGGACCAATTTTGAGGCAGGTGGAATTTAATCAAGGCAGGAGGATGCAGGGTGGGGTCTCTGTCATTTTCTCTTCTCTGCTCGATTGAGTCTGGGAGAAGCGCTCTCTTTGATGGTTTTCTTCCATGTATGCCTCGCTTAAGGGCTTCATCGAATCATCACTGATATTCAACCATCGACAGGAGGAGGAGTTTTCCCACAAGGGAATCCCAAACTTGGGTTTGCTTGCTTCACCTTGCTCTGGTGGAATGGAGCCCCTCGTTCAGTCTGTGATTGGGAACGGAATGAGGTTCCACTGAAAGTCACCTCACCTGGCCAATAGAGATTTCCCAATGGAGGTGACATGGGTCTCTCACTGGCTCTGCAGATGTCATTCAAGAGCCCCTTTCCCCTACCTGAAATTCCACTTGATGAATTAAAATGGAAGCAAAAAGGAGGAAAAATTCATGCTTTAACTGAACAAAACACTGGTTAGACCGTAGCTGGAGCACTGCAAACCATTCTCAGTGACTTGGAAAGCAGCTACTGTCTTTGGAGGAAGTGCAGGATTTATTTACCAGATTCTCACGTAAAAATGCGAGGAGAGATTATATAAATAAGGTTTGTATTCCCAGGAATTTAAAGAGTTTAACAGTGACTAAGGGTTATCAAGACAGTGAGGGTAATAGAGAGCTAGTAGGAACTGCAGATGCTGGAGAATCCGAGACAACAAGGTGCAGGGCTGGATGAACACAGCAGGCCAAGCAGCATCATAGGAGCAGAAAGGCTGACGTTTCGGGCCTAGACCCTTCATCAGAAAAGGGGGAGGGGAAGGGGGTTCTGA